ACCAAATATATGACCATAAGGTTTATAATAGAACTGAAAATGTTCTATGGTATAATGACCTCTTCAGAGTTAGTGTAACTGCAGTTCAACAATTGCTTGTTTGTGGTGCTGCTGTTGCAAACAAATCTATTTAGATGCACAAATGCTTTCCATTGTGTTACAACTGTGTACAGTGCACAGAGAGTAAAATTCTGTGCTAGTTTGTAGTCTAGGAGTAGTAGGCTATATACACAATCTCCCATGTGTGCATGCACACACATAATCTCTATGTATGCACACACATATACATGCTGTTGGATTATGGGGACACATATGCATGTATATATGTATGCACACACATAGGCATACGTGTATGTGCATATACATATCTATATACATATGAGATATATCATAAAGCCCAGGTGTGTAATAGGCCATATCACCTAGGTTTGTTTAAGTAGACTCTAGATGTTTGCACATTGATGAATTCACCTAACAACAAATTTCTCAGAATATATCTTGGTCATTAAGTGTTGCATGGCTATATCTTTATTTCCTCTGGACATTGGCACAGAGCTTCGTCAGCACGCACGTGTAAGGTTCATAATTGTTAGTTACTGCAAAGAGCATAAGGAGATATTCTACGCCTCCCCAGGAATAGTCAGGCAGGTGTACAAGGGGCTGTGTAGATACAGGGTGGCCAGCATTGAGGCAGGGCTATTAGCTTTGCTCTTAGTTCAACACAGAGCTGTCTCCAGGAAGCAGCTGTTGAGTTGGACAGACCAGCATGGGGAGGGACCCAACAATTGAGCTCTGAGCCCCAGACTGCAGGGACCCTCGTCTCCTGAATGCCCCAGTCCTGCCCATGTGACCTCAGCTCCTTCCTCTGATGTGGTCTCTCACCACTGAGTCTGGGCTGATCCTGACTGGTGCCAACCCACCTGGCATCCAATTCCTGTAGCCTAGCAGCTCCAAGAGGCTGGAGCCGACCTCCCATGAACTTGAGCAATTCAGCTTAGCTGAGCCTCTGTGTTTTGACTTCCCACTGTGGGGCGGCAGCTGGAGACTTAAAGTTTCCTTTTCATAGGGGCATTATCTTCCCACAAGTTCAGGTGGGCGCCACCCAATTCCCGGCTGCTGCCTGCTGAACTCTGTTTTGTCTGAGACTCCAAGAGCTGATAAAATGATACCTCTAATAGCAAATCACCTTTGTCATTAGGGAATCTTGAGCCACTGGGAGCCAAGAGCACCTTAGCCCTGGGGGACCACCCACTGGCTCAACCAGGTCATACTCCTCAGAATTGGGGGCTAAAGGAACCTCCACTGACAGCTCAACTATGATAAGATCCATATGTTGGCTCTCTGCCTATAGGCCCAAAGCTGTATGGAGTCTGGAGAGGACAGCCATGCCAATGCTACCACTGCCACCACCCCTCCTGACTTTTCACCTGGAAAGCAGGATCAGTGGGTTCCAAATGTGCCTTAATATAGGTGTGATGTGATTCAAACATTGCCCCAAAGCCCAGCTCCTCTCAACTCTGAGGTCTCAAAACTGGGGCTGTTTGCTGGGCAGCCATTTGGGGCATGTAGGAGAGGACTTAGTGGAGGCCTGGGACACGGAGTGGCTGGAAGACCTGGCTGCAAGCCCTGTTCATTCAGCACCTGTGATATCTGCCTGATAAGTAGGTTGTGGGCCTGCTCTGAGAGTCTGGGTGGAGCATGAGCTTACAAATTCTCACTGCTGGCTCTTGTTGGCTTGCGCTTTACACAACACTGACTACAGGCCATACTGTTGGATTATGGGGACATATGGGTGAAAACTGCCCACTTTTTATATTGGCAGAGAGGAATATGAACCCATCCTGATGTGAGGGGCTTGCCTGTACAAGGAGCTCAGTAATGGGGGATGGTAAATGCTTCAGGGGAGTCCTGGGGGCTGATTGAGTGGGGAGAAGATTGCTTCTCCCAGGAAGAGCCATATGGAGAGTTGCCAGGTGGTCAGCTCACTTGGAGCTCCAGAAGACTGAGATATCCCATACCCCAAAATACAAGACAGTTCTAGGGTTTACATTCTACTTGGATGGAGCAACTACTCCTATAAGCACTACTTATAGATGTAGTTCAGTGGTTAAGGACCCTAGGTTCAATCTGACTAAGATGGGCATCTTCCTCTTGGGGTATGATGCTTTTCCATGCTGCCTGGCCTTCTCTGTTATGCAGTGTCTTTGATCATATTCTGCCCCATTTACAAGCAGTCTAGACCAGGAAGAACCTGATCTTGGTGGGAGGCATTTAGAGATCCCATTGTAGGGCTAGAGTCACTTGTTGATCATTTCTGCTGCTAGACCAGAGCCCAGAACTTCATATTTTGTAAAAGAAAATAAATTACTGTTTGTAGTTGAAATGTGAAATTACAGGGTCTTAATTGTCCTCTTTGGATGATATTTTGCAGCTTTCTTTAATATTAGGAAACATGGGCTCCTTCCATCTTTTCAACAATAGTTGAGCCTGGTACAGTAATACACACCTGTAATCCCAGCAACTTGGGAAGCTGAGGCAGGAGGATTGCAAGTTCAACACCAGCTTCAGCAACTTAGGGAGGCCCTAAGCAACTTAGTAAGGCCCTATCTCAATTAAGAAAAAAAGAGAAAAAAGACTGGAGATGTAGTTCAGTGGTTAAGGACCCTGAGGTTCAATCCCTGGCATAGAGAAAAAAAAAAAAGTCAACCCTTGTCTATGGATTCAACCAACTATGGATGGAAAGTACTGTGTTGCTGCACTGTATTGAACATATACAGACTTTTTATCTTGTCATTATTCCTTAAACAACTATTTACCTAGCATTGACATTGTATTAGATATTATCAATAATGTAGAGATAATTTAAAGTTTACAGGAAGATGTGGGTAAATTATATGCAAACACTGTGCCATTTTGTAAAAGGCAGTTGAGTGTTATTATCCCTGGTGGGGGGATCTAGAACCAGTTTCTCACAGGTACAACTATAATGCTTTTCTTGTGTGCTCTGTTACCAGCCTTATATGAAGTTAGGTTCATTCATTTTAGGTTATTTATGGTTTTAAAGAATTTTTCCTGTGTTAATATAATATTATTTTTTTAATACATAATTGTGTAGAATTCAAGAAAAAAGAAAACCAAAATGTCACAAGATGTGTTTGGACCACCTCGGTCCCTCTGTCCTCTTCTCTCACTTCCTGTAAGATTCTGCTTTTAATCTTTCATTGATTCCTTTTGCAAATGTGTGTGTATGTTTTACAGGCACATGTATGTGCACATGCATTTCCTCCATCTTCACAATGATGCTCTGAACACTCACTGCTTTGCTGTGTGCCTGCCCTACTCTATCCCATGGCCCCTCAGATCAGCCTAGGTAGCCCCTCCTGACTCATGTCAGCATAGGGACTCCCTCTGCGAAAGTTCAGGCAGAAGAACTGGTTCTGCAATGGTCTCATGGCCTTCCCCTGTGACTATTAAGGCAGGATGGAAAAGGAATCTCCATGTGAGCCATATGCCTCATCTTGTCTGGGTCTCACATTGGCACTGTTTACAGATGAGAACACCGAAGTTCATAGAGAAAAGAGGTTTGTCCAGGGTCTCTTGTTCATGGAGGGACAGGGAATCCCAGGCAGTCATCTCCCAGCATGTAGTAGTCCAAAGCAGAGTCCAGCAGGGGCCCAGGGCCCACCTTCAAAAAGCATTATCTATGTAGCTTTTGCAGCATGTCAGTTTAAGGGTCTCAGTTCCATGTAGGGTTACTTCTAAGGCCTAAGTTGTTCTGCCCTGGGTTGTGGGAACCAGACCTCCTCTGCATTGTCAGAAACAAAAAATAATATATAACATCTTCATGTTACAACCAAAGGAAAGGGTCTGGGGTACAGTTCAGTAGTAGAATACTGGCCTAGCACACATAAGGTCCTTGATTTGATCTCCAGCACTGGGGGGGGGGGGAGGGTTGGGGGGAACAACCAAAGGAATGAAGAAGGCATCATTAGTGGAGAGGGAGGCCCTGAGCATGCATCCTTGGAGGGGAGAGACCTTAAGGCCCTGGGTGGGGCCAGACAGTGTCAACTGAGGCTATAACCCAGTACACGACCAACTGAGCCTCAGACTGTCCAGATGAGAAAGAGGCCATCAAAGCCATTTGGTGTCCCTCAGAGGAAGCCCAGCTGGACTCTCAAAATCTGGGGGCTGTGTTCCTGGTACCTAATGGCAGTGAGCTGTGGTGTGGAGGATGATACAGCAAGAGGACCAGGTGCCAACAGCACTACTCTGTGTTTCCAAGGAAGGRCTGGTTTCTCAAGATGAAAACAGTATTAGAACTATTCATGCTAGTACTGGTGGTGGTGCAGGCTAGGTTGAGGCCCATGGAAGGTTCTGGAGTCTTATTTCTAGCACCCTGATGTTGGGCAGCATTTGTATTTGTAAGCATCTGCTCTTTTCCCCACATGCCAGAATGCAGCCACTGAGAAGGCTTCTCTCTTCAGTATGCAACAATGGACTAGTTGTGTCATTTGATAAAGGTTCATAACAGACACCCCTGCCCCTCTTCCATGGTGAAGCTGCTTGTCTACAGAAGCCGGGAGCCTTTTGAGACCATCTGTACTTCACATTTGACCATTTCTAAGATCATTCTGAGAAATGTTTTAATTTTTTTTCTTGTTCCTCCTCCGCTCTCCCCTCCCCATCTCCTTCTCCTCCATCTCCTCTATCTCCTCTTCCTCTTTCTCCTCCTTCTCCTCCTCCTCCTCCTCCTCCTCCTCCTCCTCCTCCTCCTCGTTTTTTTGTTTGTTTGTGTGTTTGTTTTGAGACAGGGTTTCACTGTGTTGCCCAGGCTAACCTCAAACTCCTGGCTCAGGTGATCCCCCTGCCTCTGTCTCCTGAGTAGCTGGAACTTCAGGTACACTACAACCATGTCCAGCTCCAAGAAATGTTTTAAATAAAAGGAATCTAGGTTAGAACTTCTAAAGAAAATCTTTCAACCTTCTCTGTCTTTCCTTCAGGTCGAATTCCAGAAACCAGAAATCTGAATCTGAAGGAAGTTGGAGTGAATATAAACCCTGAGAATCAAAAGATCATTGTTGATGCCCAGGATGTCACCTCTGTCCCCCACATCTATGCCATTGGAGATGTTGCTGAGGTATGACCTGTGCCCCTCTGTTCATCTCCTGTGACCAGGAACCCCCCAGCTGCCCGTGTTCCTATGGCTGCTTTCACATGGGAAAGAGACATTTCTTCAATTACAGAGGCACTGGACCAAACCTCAGGGGTTGGTAGGGTGTGTTCTGGGAAGAACTGGGCATTAGATTCAGCTCTTTCGAAAGCTCCTCCCCCCCACCCCGTGTGGGATAACTTAAAAAAATGGCTGTAAGCTCAACTAGCCACATCTCACAAATGACATTGTTGGAGGCCCTAGGGCCATCCTGTTCCCACAGGGGTAGAAGGGCAGGCCTAGTTCAGCCCTTCCTGGTCCTGCCCACCTTGCCTTATTTTTTCCTCTGATCTGCAGGCAGGTTCAATTTGCTCCCTAACTAGGRTATCACATGGGAGCAGGGTGTCTGCTTCTTACTGTTACTGTAAATGGGGGCCAGTTTGATCTTTCCTGGTGGGAGGTTCAGTCCAAGGAAGACACAAAGGCTTTGGAGTCTGCCTCCATCCACTGGGTCTGTAGCTGCAGTCTCTTCCCTGTCTTACTTTCTCCCCTGGAAAGCAAGGACTGTAACACCTCCCTAGTGAGTCCCTGGTTGAAGTCCCTAGACCCTACTCCTAGCTTGGGAGGCATCTAGTCACCCTCTCTTTTATGGGCACCCAGCAAGAAACCTGCATGGTTTCTTGAAAGAAATCAGTCATGGGACACTGTTTCCCCACATCCTCAGGAACAGTTGGCCTGACCTGCATGTTTCTAATACATTTGGGGGAAGGTGCCTCAGGACGTCCCTAGTCAAACAAGCTGAGAGGTGCTCCCTACATTCCTAGGCCCTGTCACCTCTTTGCAGTGAGATATGCTAATGTCATCTATGTGTGTGTTCATGTCCTGGGGCTGCTATAAACACATCACCACAAATTCAGTGGCTTAAAACAACAGATATTCATCTCTCACATTCTGGGGTCCAGAAGTCTGAAATGAAGGTGTAGGCCAGGCTGCACTCTCCAGGACCTTTTAGAGGAGGATTTTTTTCTGTCTCCCCCTGTTTCTGATGGCCCTGTGAGTTCCTTGCATCCTGTCCACATCACTTCAGTATTGTACCCATCTCCTCCATGTGTTTTTGTGCCCTTATTTGTCTCTTATAAATGTCTCCCATCAGATTTATGGCCTATCCCAATCCACTGCAACCCTAATTATATCTGCAAAGACCCTATTTCCAAATAAGCACATTCTGAGGTTGCAGGCAGTCATGAATTTTGGGAAGTCTCTATTCAACCCACCCAAATACATTAATTTACATTCACTCAGATGGACATTCACTTGAGTGCCCACTGCATACCAGGCATTTTTCTGGGTACTGGGGACACAGCAGGAATAAACGTTACACCCACATGGAAGTGCATCTTGGAAGAGGTTATAGATGATAGTAAGTGAATTATTTCAGACATCAAGAGATGCTTAGTACTAGGGATCAGGAGAGACCTAGAAGGAGTTAAGAGAGGGGGCCCAGTGAGTATCCACCCCTGTGCTGGAACACAGCAGGCTTTGTGGGGATACTAGTGCTCTCAGGAGAGTACAGGCACCACCCTGCCCTGGATCACCCTAGAACCCACTTTGGGAAATGCCAGCAAGGAGCTTGGAGGGAATGGGAGCCAGTATCTAAGGCTAGCAAGTCCCTGGGTGGGATATCCCAGAGCTGAGTGGGCACAGGTGGGCATTATCATCAATACTGAAGGACTATTCCTCCATGTTGGACTCTGCTAAGACTCACACCAGGGAAAAGGTTGGCATACATGTAGAAACAGATCAGAGCAGAGGGCTATACAAGGTGAGGCTTTCCCTTGTTCCTGGGGACCAGCCTGCTTATGTGGTATGAATCATTCCTGCCAAATACTGGGACCCACACTAATCCTTTCTGCTGGGGCAATAGAGTCCTTCGTGCCCCCAGTGTGCAAGAGGCACCACCTACCAGCCATTGCTAATACATAGATGTGAGCYAAGTTGCTGCTACTCAAGCACTCAAGCCCCTGTGACTCAAGTTCAAGAAACCATGTGTAGGGCACTGGAGGACTCTGGGTACCCACTGCTGCCAGATGCAACCCCCACACCCTGCCAGGTAGATGTTCTAAGGCTCCCCGTGTTGAAAAGGATTATGAGACAGCTCTGGTGGGGCTTGCTATCAGAGTCTGTCCCCTTCCCTGCTGGATTGTACACAATCCATCAAAGTAATGGCTTCTTTTGTCAACTGGCTCCAGCCCACTTAGCTGGGCAATGCAGTTGCTAGGCCTCTCTGCCTGTAGACAGTTTGGATGTGGTGATCTGTGTGCAGGCTTCTGTTGAATCCTGTGAGTGCTGTACCCTAAGACAACACCTGTTTTCTTACCAGCATAACACTGTGTGCATCTCTGTGCATCCTGTGATGCCTCCTTTGCACCCACCAGTTGAAGTTTCTTCATCTGCACTAACACAGTTCCTAGTCTCCAAGGCCTATAACAATGTGATAGAAATGATAACACTTCGAACTATATTGCCAGAAATACATGACAAATACAAAAGCATTCTTTGTAGCTTCAAAGGTCATTTTGAGCAGTTCAAAGAGTTAACACCCAGTGTTAGACCAGAGCTGGGAAGAGCTCTGAGGATTGGGGGCAGGGGGATATTGTTTAATGAGATATTGTGTGCTGTGTGTGTGGATGTTTCCGCAGTTAGTCAGGCCTGGTGGAATGCACAGGCTGCTTTCCTGAGTTTATCTCTGCAGATCTCTATTCATTTCTGGAATGCCAAACAACATCTGCATTTCCTGCTGCAGAAGTGACTGCTAGCAGATCCCAGGTCTACATATGCAGGAAAACCCAAGGCAGGGAGTACACCCTGGGTTGGAGGGGTCTCTTACAGTATGATACTTTGATYTGAGATTTGTCATGGGCTGTGACATGCACTTCAAGGTGTGTATCAGGAGCATATGGGCTACTTGAGGCACATTTTAGCTGAAATCTCAGTTAATGGGAATGGAGCAAGGATCTCTTTTGAGGTTTGTCATGGGGACAAACCTTTGAGTTCATTAACATGAATAAGGGATTCAGAGAGAAGACTTGAGTGAGTGAAAGTGACCTGACTGAGCCCATTAGCAGTTCATTTTCTCTTCCTGGAAAGAGGGTCATAAGCACAGGTTTCTCCCCAGAGGAAGGTGTAAGGAAGCCATTAAGAGAATAAGCAAACCAATGAGGGTCTTGACATTCCTGCACCTTCTCACCATGGGAGAATCAACCTCCAGTAGAGAAAGCTCTCAATTCACTGCCATTCTGTGGAGTTTCATCAGGGAGCTGCCCATGAGGAAGGTGATGGGTGGTGCACTCTCTAATGTGGTACTGATATAACCTTGAGTTTCTTCCATCAGGGGCGGCCTGAGCTGACACCCACAGCTATCATGGCAGGGAAGCTTCTGGCCCAGCGGCTCTTTGGACAATCCTCAGACCTGATGGATTATAACAATGTGAGTTGTCTTAAAGAAACCCAAGTCCAGCCTGGAAAAGGCTAAGGCTGGATCTTCTGGAGTGGGTAGGGTATGTGTGTGCTCTTGTATGCCTGCATTTTCATGGCACATATGTGCATATGCAAGTGGTATGTGTATGTGAATGTTTTGTACACATATATGAGCACATGTTTATGGTTTAGTCCAAGAGTGCAGCCCAGGAACTGTGAATGGATCCACTTGCTGTGCTTGCAGCCTGCCAGCCACTATGGCTAGGGCCCTGGCCCGTGATCACTTCTATTTGAATTATACAGTGGAGACTTTCAATTTGTGGGGTCTAGAGGCATACCTGACTCCAGACCTGCTTTTTAGGTTCCCACTACTGTCTTCACTCCATTGGAATATGGCTGTGTGGGGTTGTCAGAAGAGGAGGCTGTGGCTCGCCATGGACAAGAGCATATTGAGGTACATGTGTGGCTCTCACCCCCACAGATGGTCCTTCCCTGGATGGAAGTCCTGTGAACAGGGGTGTTTATGTCCCTGCTTCCTGTGAGCTRTGGCTTGGCAGGGCAGGATATGGGGATCCAGAACAATGGCTATGGAAGGAACACACAGGACAGAAGCATTGGAAGGCAACTCTAGAAATGAAGGAAAGCAGAGGCCTCTGTCAGCTTTGGTGTGGGCTGAGCCTCAGCTTCTGTGGTCTCAGTGGCCATCTGCTACTGCATGTCATGTGACTACCGAAGGGCCCCAAGATGCCTCATTCTGAAGCTGAGTGGTCCAGCAGCCTCTAGCTTTCATGCCCAGCTGTGCTACAACACATCAGGGGTCCTCACCTTGGTACCAACAGCTCCCTGCTAAAGTCTCAGGGCATCAAAGTACCAGCCCCATTCCAGCATGAAGAGTACTTGTCACAGAAGACCTGAGGGCCCATGTGCCTCTGTGGTTCTCACCACCTCACAGGGGCATGGTCTCTCTCAACCTGGAATAGCTCCTCTGGGGTGTCCTCTGACCTCTGTTCCCCTTTACTCTGTCCTCTTACCTAAGGCTGCCCCATCCCCTCCTACCTGTAACCCTGGGCATTCCTCCAGCAGCTCCAGCAGGCATGATCCCATTTTGCCCCAATCCAAGCTTCCAGTCCTCTTCCCAGACTCTTTAAGTCCTTGCAGGCCTCCGTGGCCCAGACTCAAGCATTCATCCCAAAGAAACGAGCTTTTATAGGGCAAGATTACTTTTGGGGTCTGCCCTGGCAGGTGGGCTATGGCCCCCAAGGTGGCCACAGAATATGTCTAGGTGCTCTAAAGGGAAGTTGGAGGCTTTGAAACTTGCCAGGCTGTGGAAGCTGAAAGCCTTCCATGTGGTTTCATCTTCCTGCTACAGCAGCTTGCAGGCGGTAGGGGAAACCAGACCCCATGTGGCCTGGGCAGGGAGGTCTGTRCTATTCAGGAATGAGTCACTGGACTCCAGAGCCTGGCCCTTCCCCTGCACCTCAGGCCCCTCCATCACTAGAAAGCATCTGACAGGCCAGCCTTCCCTGCAGCACTTTATTTGCTATTTTTGTTTGATTCATCATAAGTACACTGGGACATGTGTTCATGGCATTTTATAATGTTATTTTATGTTTCACAATGTTGAATGGCCAAATACTCTTTGTTTGTTTTCTTTTCAGTTCTGTCTTACTTAGAACAATATTCTCTGAAGCTCTATTAATTAATAATGGCTGTGCAGCACATGTGAGGGCCCTGCTCATTTTTTACTTGCTGCAGCCCCAAATGTGCTGTCGGCCCTTCATGGGTGCTGAAAGCCTCTGTTCGACAGCTCCAGTGTGACCGTAGCCTGCCCTAGCCCTTGGCCACCCTGTGTCAGGCCCCTCCTCCTCACTGAAGTCAAGGCCAAACCAAGGACAGAATGCCCAACAGAGGTCCATCAGCCCAATCCTGCTTATGTGGGCAGGCTGGGMAACCCCCACACTGGCCATTGCTGCAGTTACTTTGTCCAGTTTACATTGTCATGGGGGACCTGTGTCTACCCAACATTTGCTCCCAAGGGAGTGCACCAATGCCCTGGCCCAAGCTCATGACACATCATGGTGAGCAGTACCTGAGCAATCTATAGTGTCCTGCTGCATATAGTTACAGGGGTTTAGGGCCTGAGCAGGAGAGGGTCTATCCTGCAGATTGCTTGGCTGCAGGTACTGGCTTCTTGTGCATGGGAGAGGTGAACACACTCTGCAGCCAGCTAGGCTGTGTTCTCACCCCACATCACAGTTTTGAGCCAAGTGAATAATTCTGGGTCCCTGAGAACACATCTACTCCTTGCACCCTTCCTGTTGGATCCAAAAAATACCCATAGGACTGGTTTTGCTGTGGCTGCTAATTCCAGGAACTGGTGTCTTGTCACCCAGGTTTATCACGCATATTATAAACCACTAGAGTTCACAGTGGCTGAACGAGATGCATCCCAGTGTTACATAAAGGTGAGTGTCTTTTGGGTCCAGCCTGAGGTGTGCAGGGGGTTGGAGGAAAGGAGGGAAAGAGCTGGCAACAGAGGTGGGTGAGATTTGTGGTGCCCCTCTAGCAAAACAGTTGGAATGTCTGAGGGTCACTAGTGTCCCCAGAGGTGGGACATAGTTGGGTCCCTCCTTTGGCCTGGCTGCCACTGAGATACTCTGTTTTTCAGTTGGTGTGCCTGAAGGAGCCCCCACAGCTGGTGCTGGGCCTGCACTTCCTCGGCCCCAACGCTGGTGAAGTTACTCAAGGATTTGCTCTGGGGATCAAGTAAGTCGGGAGGAATTTCGRCCGTTATGCGTTGCTCAGACTGGGTGTCCCTCCTAGTGTTGGCAGCACTACAGTGGAAAGCCTGCTGGGTTTCATGTTGCTTTCATGTGGCCTTGCGCATGTTTCCAACACGGATTCTTTAGGTTCCCCTCAGACATGGCAGGTTCAGTGGGAAGAGAGGCAGCTTTCTTCTCTAGCCAAACACTGTTCAGGCAGAGCCATGCTACATGTCTGCTGTGGCTGGCTGCCTGGGGATCATTGTGGCCCTGGGTCACTGTTTAGGCCTTTTCTACACAGTCAGAACAAGCAGAATTGGTCTTCACTTACCCAGCTGAGCCCTCAGGCAGTTGAGAGCAAGGTCCTGGTTTCAAGTGAGCCAGGAAAGAGCCACAATGGAGTGGTTTTGTGTTTTCTGTGGCTTGGGCTTTTGCCTGTGTCCTGGACTAAAGCTGTGTTATATTTTTGTTTTGTTTTTGTTTTTCAGTGCTAGGGATCAAACACAGGGTATTACATGTACTAAGCAAGTCCAGACCTTAGTAACTTTTGGATAGAACCCATGAGCCTCATGTAGCTTCTGCTGAGAGTTCTCCTAGAGCCTGTGGGGTGCAAGAAGAATGACCCTTGGAACCCAGTTCACTGACACTGTGCAAGAGATGGTAGGCTGGGGCCGTCCACAGTACTAGCTCTAGCCTGAGAGACTTCTGGGGCTGACAGGGCCCAGACCCAGAGCATCTGGCCCAGATCCTCCACCTTGCCCATGGAACCTTTCAACATATTGGCCCTGCTTTCCTGCCCCAGCCTTCTCACTGACCTTCCCTATACCCAGACCTCTTACCCTTAAGACTAGCTCTTAGTTACACTTACAATCTGGTCCATCCACAAGGCTTTTGCCATTCACATGCTCTAGAATGCAAATGCTGATGCCAATACCAACACTTGGTTTCTGGAATAATTTCTGGAAAAGTCCTTTAAATTTTGGCAGCCTCTTTTTATAATGCAACTGCAGAGTTGATTTTCCTTTCTTTCTTTGATACAGGGAATTTAACCAAGGAGCATTTAACCACTAAGCCACATCCCCACACCTTTTTATTTTTTATTTTGAGACAGGGTCTCACTGAGTTGCTAAAGTCCTTGCTATGTTGCTCAGGCGTACTAAGCATGCACTCTACTGCTGAGTTACATCCCAACCCCATCATGCCATGTGTTTGGGGGATTCCAGGGTCTAAGTGTCTATGTATGTGTCTATGTTGTACCTGACCATCTCCTTCCCAGAAAATGTCCAGTTCCAAATGTCTGTTTGCTCCCAAGCTGCCACGATTACAGGAGTGCCCCACCATGCCCAGCAGAGCTGATTTTCTTAATATGCAAAGAGCTGTTAATAAATCAATAGTAATTTTGGAGCAAATAACCCAAAAAGAAAAAATACAGAAAATAAATAGGCAATTCACAGGAAATAAAATAATAATAAACAATAGAAGGCCACTGTGCCCAGAAATGTAAAGTTTGGAATATTAAAATGTAATTCAAATACTATTGAACCATCTTGGTTGATAAAGCATAAGGGGCTTAATACTGTCCCGTAATGATCATTTTCCAGTGTCTGCATGATGGAAACACTGATGCTCTGAAGCAAGCTAGTAGAGCTCAAAGACTGATATTTCAGACATGGAGTGGACCTTCCTACTACTGACTTCTTGTCTGTAATGCACATGCCTATTGTTTGAGTTAGGAATTTACCCATGAGATATTCCAACACACAAGTACATCTTAAGGAGAGCTGCCTATTGCAACCTTGTCTAATGACAAACAACGGAAGCTATCTGTGCCCTATGAGATATCCATAATACTGTTTTCCCAAGTAGATGAACAGTGTACATTGAGTGTGTGAAGTAATGCAAGGGACATGAGTAGATGCCTTGAATACCCACCTCAGCTCTTAATCTGTAGAATTTTGGAAGGTGGGCTTGGGATCCTGGATGAGGGCCAGGTCTCAGAAGTTCCAGAGGAAGCAAAGGCTGTTTCTTATAGGGCTAGTTGCAGAGCTAGACCAGACCCCTCCCCCATGCTCCATTGTATACTCACTCTATGCAGGCAGGATGCTGGGGCTCAGGGCACAGCCACCCACAGAGCAGCCAGCTCCCTGCCTTAGGCAGCAGGTGCTCAGAGCACTGGCGTTATGCCTTATGCCGCTGCATGTGAGAAGTCTGAGCAGAACTGGGCTGAGCAGGAGGCCAGGCAGGTGCAGTCTGCAGTAATAAAAAGTGTAGCTAAATGGTTAGAGCACTTGCCTAGCATATGCAAGACTCTGGGTTCAGTTTCTAGCACCACCAAAAAAAGAAGTGGGCTTGAGCTTACTTTGATTGGTAATTTGAACCATATCTTTTTTTWAAAAATATATTTTTAGTTGTGAGTGGACACAATACTTTTATGTGGTGCTAAGAATCAAACCCAGTGYCTCATGCATGCTAGGCAAGCGCTGTACCACTGAGCCACAATCCCAGCCCTTGAACTATATCTTGACAGAGTGAGGGAGCAGGTCCTAGGGAAAGACCAGATGGGACTATGCCTGGTAGGACTACAGCAGCAGGAGGCCAGGCTATAACAAGCCAAGGAGAGGTTGGATGGGAGGTGGGCCAGAAGGGGTTGCCACTTGGCCACTGAGGGAACTGGACATTTTCTGGGTGGTCAGGTACAATGTAGACACAGGCAGGTGTTCTGGCACTGGCTGGAGAAGGCAGGGGTACTTCTAAAGCCTTCCTAGAGTCAGAGTGGCATAGATATGACTCCCTGTGCTGACAGGTTCCTTGCGTATCTCTGCTAATCTTTGCATGCAGATGCGGGGCCTCGTATGCACAGGTGATGAGGACAGTGGGCATCCACCCCACCTGTTCTGAGGAGGTGGTCAAGCTACGTATCTCCAAGCGCTCAGGCCTGGACCCTACTGTGACTGGCTGCTGAGGTTAAGCCATCATCCCTGCAAGGCCAAGGGTACACGACATGCTGCTCCCCACTGCCAAGGCTCCTAAAAAGCCCAGATCCAGGTATGCAGGTTTGAGGATAAACACGTGGTTCAGAGTTGTGGGAGCCATCAGGTAGGTGCAAGGTTGCACCTACTATGCCACCTGAAACAAGTGTGCCCTGCTCCCTGTGTTAAGCCCTGGTAGCCTAGAAGCATGGATTGGAGGGGAGGCCACCAAGTATCCTTACTCTCTGAAAGATACCCAGAGAGCCCTTCCTGGCCATTAAATGTTCCCCATGTTCAGGTTTTGAAAGGACAAGCTCACACCTATAGTATCCCCTGGGCAACCTCAAGTTGCTGGTCCTTGTGGGCTGCTGGCAAGAAGCTGGCCACCCGCTCCTGTCTTTTCAGAGTGCCAGCACCAGCTCTTTTCCTTCTTGCCCAGAAGGTGGAGATGCTGCCTCATACATAGCCAGCTGCCGCCCTGCACATCTGGTTCTGTTACAGCTTTGCAAAGCTGGGCTGGCCAAAYGGATGGCCAGAAGTCTCAGGGGTATTGCAGTGTTCATTGCAGTTTTCTTCTGTAGAGGAAAAAAAGTAGTGAGTTCCTAGCCCCTAGGAAAGCATGCATATGGCCAGGGCTTTGTCCCCTGTCAGTCTGACATAACACTCTTCAAGCCCCAGCAGGGTTAAACCCTGGAGCCTACACAGTCCAGCCCTCCCTGGGTGTCTCCTATGACTGTTGACTCCTCCTAATCCTTTCTTTAGATCCCCTCTTCCTCCAGAGCAGAGGCAGAGTTGGTAGGCAGAACAGTAAGCTCCCCCTTGAGATACTCTTGGCAGACTTCATTGTCTAATCAGCTGCTGAGGGGTCCAGTGGGCAGTAGGTCCTGACTAGGGGGGCCTTGCCTGGACATTTTGACATCTAGCTCCACCACAACCTACCAGAACCAGGGATGCCTTTGATACAGACAAACAAAGCATCTTGAGGAAACTCTTATCAGAATATTATACCTCACAGAGCTGTTTTGTTAAGAGCCTGCTACAAAAATTTTATCATTTCAAAATATTTTTATAGCACTGGTGTAGGGAGAGGGGAGCATCTCTCCAGTCTACCCTTTGAGGGTCCCATGGGCAGCTGAGGGAGATGTGTCCAAACAAATGTGAGGGTTGCCTTGTGCTGACTCCTACCTGTCGTTGGCAGGACTAGAAGGCGAGAATTGGATGAGTCTCTTCCCCTCTTCTGTTTGCATGGGAGCAGCGTGTATCTGCACAGATGGCTGGTGTGCCCTGCAGGGATGGCTCCAGGGGTAGTCAGCCCCTTTCTCCTCTTCTACCTGGGCTAGCGCCACTGCCCAACCCAGACCCCTAAATGCCAAATGATGACGGCCTGGGCAGAAACCCACTCTGTGGGCTGCCCATGTCCGAGCCCCCTGGCGTTTCTGGATTGTAAATAAAGAGGATGTTTTCCTGAAGTGTGTTTTGCCTATGATATCCCTGATATATATGCAGGACTGCTCAGGTAAGGTAGGCCTGGCCAGCCCACTAGCTCCCTTCATCAAATGAGAGTAGTTTCTAGGACCTGCTGGCAAGGGAAGCCCACAATCAACTGGGGCCATCCAGAGTTCAGAGCATATAAGTTCCCAGTAGCCAGTGGGTGAGAGGGGCAGACGCTGACCCTTCTGGCCCCCAGGAAGAACACAGTCCCCCCTGTGCCTCCTGGCTATCTGACCTCTCATAGGGATCTCTCTGGGGACCCTCTGCACAGGTTCCCCTTAGTTTTCTATGTACCTCAAAGCAAGGAGGACAGCCCCAAGCAGATACTGGGCAGGGGTTGGGGCAAGTGACAGGAGTGTATGAATTGGCAGGGGTGTTTGAGACTTCTGTCCCTGAACATCAGCCACCTCATTACATTTCCATCGTGGCCTCCAAGTCAGCTTGTTGGCTGCACTCTGGCTAATCCTGCACATTGAGGCTTGATGGGTTGAGGGAGCGCCTGTCTGTCACATTGCAGAGAGACAGTGCTGACAGCGCTGGGCAGGGCCCGGCATTGTGCTGAGGCTTTAGTGGCAGCTAATCTCATGTCTTCCTTAAGAAAACATCACTTAGTCTGCCGGCCTGGGAGCCCTGGATGGGACCCTGCTTGTCAGTGAACAAAGGAATGTGTTTGTACCTTAATGGGCCTACGGGAGCCTGGCTCACGGTGTGAAGCGTGTGCGGGAGCTCTCAGACGCCCAATTAAGATGCCAAGTGCTGGGCTGGGCTGGGTCCTCCTGACAAGTGCAGAGCCAGATCAGCCGTGTCCCATTTAACGCACGGCTGGTGGCACACCCCTGCAGCAGATCCTGCAGGGAAGAATCCTCTAGCCTGAGCTTTTTGTCTGCCTCAGAGGCAAAGAGGTCAGCTAACACCTGGGGCCTGTGGGGGGTCTGTGGGAGGCCCCTCTGGGGGTCAGACAGGTAGGGCAGACATTATTCTGCCCCAGCAGCACCCTCTATTTTGGGGCAGACAAGAAACTTGCAGTTGGTACTCTCTGTGATGACAGAAAAGATTCAGCCTATATGGGGTCCTCAGCATATACCAGGCAGCTCCCTGGGGTGAGGGCCTTTTGCCTCCTTGCCCACCCAGTCAGCCAGGAGTACCTGTCACTGGCAGCCAGAATGCTCACACACATCCATGTCCCCCATAGTCCCTCCAGGTGGYCTTCTTGCACATCTTTTCCCCAGAAACAGATCTTGCATCAGCATATCTGCTCCTATAATTTCTCCTCTCGGGCTGGGGATGTGGCTCAAGCGGTAGCGCGCTCGCCTRGCATACGTGCGACCCGGGTTCAATCCTCAGCACCACATACCAACAAAGATGTTGTGTCCGCCGAGAACTAAAAAACAATAAATAAATTAAAAAAAAAAAATTTCTCCTCTCATTGTGCTGTTCATCTGGCATGTGCCAACCCCTAGGAGGGATCAAAATGTCTATAACTCATATCCCGGATGGTCTTAAGTCCATTGASTCCCTTTGCACAGGGCCTTATGCACTCCTGGGAAATGGTGAGCAGGGGACTGGTCCATCTCACAGTTGAGTGTTGCAGGAGAAAATCTTCCACAAAGATCTTAGGGACCACAATCACCAGGGCAACCTTCAGGGATGGATGCTGGAGCAGTATACACTGGTTTGGCCATAGGGTTCATTGCCCTGAAACAGGTTCAGGGGACCTTGGAGGCATGCTATTGCTCTAGTGAGGCATGAGCCCAAAAACCGCACACAGTCAGCTATGGATCAGGACCATAAGAGGAAAACCCCAACATGAGTGTGTACACATGACAGCTCCAATGGGCCTCTCACCCTGAGCTCCTGTGCCTACATCAAGGTGGGGCCAGGGTCAGAAGCAGGCCAGATATACTATGCAGGGATGGCTTCTGTCCTGGGTGTCCCTACTGCTCTAGCTCCAAGATCATGGCATGGCCAGCCCCTGCTCAGAGATTGCCCTTCTCTTCCACCCAGGAAAACACAAGGAGGGGCCAGAGTGCCACAGGCGAGGTGCTCTCCACCTGGCCCCAGGGCTGTCTCCTTGCTGCCTTTGCATGTTTTTATGGTGCAATGAAAATATGATTTTAATTCCTCAGATTGTTCCATGTAACCTGCAATTACCCTGGGGATGTCTTGCACACTTCTTGTGGCTCCAGGTTGCGCAAGGATAGGGGAGGGAGAGGAGCGGGTGATGGGGGTGGGGTACTATGCTCAGGGCCAAGCTGGCCCATCTCTGCCTCACCCTCCCCTGGGAAGTGGGGCAGGATCACCCATCCTCTTCTGCCACACCACACCCTTTTCCTCCTTCAGCCACCCCCACCTTGCACACTATTCTGAAGCTCTCTGAGGGTAAGCACACAGAGGAAGGGTGACATGTGGTTATGAGGCTGAATGAAGTACTAGTAGTAAAGGGTAGGGTCCAGAGAAGTCTCTGACAAAGGGGCCTGGGGCTGACAGTAGGGTGTAGAAGGAAGTCATCATATCAAAAGGAACAGCTGAGATGTTCAGACTGAAGCCCCCCTGAGCATCCACTCTGAGCATCCCACAGCATGTTGGGATCCCAGTTTCATTCAGTGCCAGTGGAGGGCATATGCTTTGGCTCTGCTTTTCTGGCTGTTGGAAGTGACCTCCTSGATGGGGGCCCTCACATGTGAGCAGAGTTGCTCCTGTGAGGAGCAACTCAGCATCTGGCAGTGCCTATGACTTCAGGTTTGAGCTTGTCCCTGAGGTCTGTGTGTTTGTGTGTCCCACAGTATCTTGACATACATGACTCACCTCACCAGGTGGCTACTCCAGCCTCAGTGCCCAAGCAGAAGCCTAGGCCCCAGACTACTCCCCACTCTAAGGTAGGTCTACAGGGGGAGGCCCGAGGCTACCACCTACCACTCACCTGCTGGGTACAGAGCTACCTGGAAGTTCAGGCCACCCAGGACCTACACAAGGGACACTCTGAAATGGCCAGGTGGGCTGTGCCATTGCAGGAGACCTCGTACTACAAGGCCATATTGCTGAGCCTTCTATACCCTATTCAGACTCCAGATTCCCCCGGCCCTCCTGGTCAGGGGACTCACTCCATGTGAGAGGTGTGTTCATGTCTGCACTAGACTTGAGGGTAGGACTTGCTCCTGCCTCCCTGATTTTACCTTATATGCCTCTGGAGCCACTTCCCCTCCAACCAGGGCCCCTTGTTACCAAGCCTGACCAAACCTGTTGGCTTCCCTTGCCCTGACCTCTGCTTATCTGCCAGTCCACTTGTCTAGTTAATCCAACTTTGGTCCTGCTGAGGGTACAAGGGGAAGACAATGTGGGCTAGTCATTGCCAGGCATGTGGTTGGGAATATCCGCCACCCATCAAGCAAGAAGCAGCAGTAGTGGGTGCATAAAGATGGCCGTTGGGCACTAGATGCTGGGGAGTGGGACAACACCGCCAGGAGCCTAGCCCTGAGTACCAGAACCCATGAAAGCTCAAGTATATTCCTCCACAAGCCCAGTCCTGTGAAGCATGTGTGAACTAATTCTCCATTCAGATGGGATCTAAACCAGGCTTTGGCCTACCCCCAAACCCTACTCAGACGAAAATTTCCTGGCCCCAAAGTTGAAAGCTGTGGGCCTCCTGCCAGGTGTGGGAGCCTCAGCCCAATCTAAACTGGGGTTGGGTACTAGAATGGAGGTGGAGTGATGATGGGTACTATCCTTCTCCTCTAGCTATGTAGATACCCTTGACCAGGGACTGCTYGAGCAGGGCCTGGCCTTAGGGCCTAACCTGGAGAGTTATCTATAGGTCTGAACCCTTAGCACCCTTGCTGCCCGGGACCCTACTGCCTATCTATCTACAACCCTGACCCCTATTTCTTCCTCATGCTTGCACAACGAGGTGGCTGACTGTTGTTAGAGGTTTCTAGAATCTGGTCCCTAGGCTGCCAAGGAAAAAATCACCAAGCAGCAGCCCCAAGCCCACCTGATCGAGCTCCCAGCACAAAAGATTCCTCTCTGAGGATCTCTCTAGGCTGAGAAATTCTGCCTCCTTTGCCCTTTTCCTCCCCATCAGGTTTCTCCTTGGTGTTAGTGCCACCAGAAGCCCAGAACCAGGCTGGCCTGCATGGGTAGCATTTTGTGTCCCACCTCTGTTTCTTCCTTCTTCTTAGATCTAGGCTTTTTATGACTGGTCATTGCATGGCCTTAGGAGCTGCCTTACATCCTTCCTGTGCCAGATGGGCATAAGTAAGTAAGTATATACTGGCATCTTTATGCCCATTCCTAGCAGAAGGCAGGCAGGAGGGGCTGCCAAGCACAGGCTTTGCCTGCCCCCGATGTTCCTCTACATACCCAAGTTTTTGAGGGGATTCCCTGATGCTCTGCTTTGGGGCTTTTCTGCTGGGCTTCTTCCTGGTTGGGAGAAGGCTCTCCTGGATTTGTGTAGACAACAACTCTGTCCCAGCTTCCACAGGGCTAGGCCATAGGGTCCCAGCTGAATGGTGTTCCCCTTGGACAGGCTGGGGAAGAAGGAGCTACCCAAAGCAGGTAGCAGGATGGCAAGGGCTTGTCCAGAATGTTCAGCTTGGGAAATAACTAGACATAACTGGAGAAAAATTCTTCACCAAAGAACTACTAAGAGGTTGATAATTCAGGAAATGGAAGAGATATTTCAGTGATGGTAATCTGGGAAGGCAGAGAGCTAGAGAGATGAGACTCCAGACTGCCATACCTAAATGTTCCTTAGGCCTTACCTATAACAGCCCCTGATCACAGGGCCCACCTCCAAGCCCAACACTCATGGCTGTAGTCATTGCTGCTGTTTTCAGAATCCCACCACAACAGGCTGAAGATTTGTTAAGGGCCAAGGACATACAGCAAACATGAGCTTCCACAGGCTGTGATCAGCTCCCTCTAGGGCCAGCATTATAGGTCGCAAAAGAAACAAAGAGTGGCTATAGTTATA